GTATTTTGCTTTTTAGTGGAATTGAATGTATCAAAGTCATTGGCCATTCCAATACACCAAAATATACCTACAATTCTACTTTTGTTGGCTGAAATGTACTTTCAAAAGTCGTCACCAAATTTAAGACGCCTAGAGATTATTTAAGTATCTCAAATCACTTCACGCATTAGGAGATGTGATATACCCAATTTTCAAAGTTCATTAGGAGTTGTCTTAGAAAATGGACTAGAAGTGAAAAATGATTGACAACTTTATTCCAGCAAAGAACTTTAGAATCACTCGTAAAGACAAGGGATCTTGTCTGCTTATACCTTTAGAATTTATTTCAATTCCGATTGCAATGTATTTGATCTCCAATTTTATAAATGCAATCTAAAGTAGAACCAATATTTAATATTTTTTATAGTCCTTTAAAACGCGTCTTGTAATCTTTATATGTCGTCAAAGTAAAATGTCGACTAGCTTTAGCTGAGTGTATGGCCTTTTCCATTTCAGATGAAGGACTTGCAAAGCGTGGATTTGAGGTTACTAGATTAAATACTTATACCATGGTACGACACTTGTCTTCATAGTTAGTGTGCCACATAGTTGCACAAATTTAATGTTACTAGTTATTTTTTATTGCAGGAACCTATTAGTCATGTGGATCAAATGGTTTTAGAAGAGGCACTAACTGCTCCTGTGATAGCTGTAGCTTCACCTTCTGCAGTACGGTAAATTTTCTCTCTTACTTCTTATGCTGAATATTTTTGCTTACTAGAATTTTCTTGTGCATTATTTTAGACATTTTATTTGTAGCCTTATTGCAATAAACTCTAGTTCAACCAACTATGTTATTGTCTATACATTCTTATATTGGGATTCCTCTTATCGAGCATTTACCATTGAAATATATTTCAACTCTTTGTTTTTCATTCCTCTTATTAGTTCAGCGTACATGTGATTGTGATTTTGTTCTCTACAGTGCTTGGGTTAGTCTACTGCCAGAATCACAAAAGTGGGATAACGCTGCTGTGTGTATCGGTGAGACAACTGCTTTAGCTGCTAGAAAGTTGGGCTTACGAAATGTTTACTTCCCGTCAAATCCTGGCCTTGAAGGGTATAACCTCTTTTCCCTTGGAAGATATTTGGGAAAATTATAATGCCTTATTCTTGACCTGTGCAGGGGCTGAACCTTCGTTGAATGGATATCGTATTAGTATAAACAAAATCAGATGTTCTTGTTATTCTCATTTTACAAGAAATACTATTATCGGTTTAAAATATTTGCGTGTAAGCACATTCAAGTAAAAGTTGTCGATGAGGTTCTTGTAATAGGAAAAACAGATAAGTGTACATAGATAGATGCAAAATAACTCGTTTCCGTTCGCTTCTTTATCTAGGAACACCGAAGAATATTTGGGACCCCAATGCTTCAATTTATGACCTTCATTGTTTTTATCAGGTGGGTTAATAGCATTTTAGAAGCCCTACAAGTCAACAACCAGTTGCACAAGGTCTAAGAGTTGAAAAACGACAGGTTCGCCCTCTTGACTTGGACGTTGAGTTTTTGGTCGTCTGAGGTAAGCCGAAGGCTGAATTTTAGCAATGACACTCTAGATGGGCAAATTGGTCTAACTAAATATACTTGTAGTTACTAATTTTGAGTGTATATAAATCTCACTCTTATTTTTATGCATACTGCATAAAGTACTTGTGTATAATTATTGTCGGTTTCTTTCATAGGATGCTCTTTCTTAAACAAATCCCGAATGCTCATTTGTCCCACCAAACCTTCGATCCCGAGTTTAATATCACGCTTTCTTCTTTTAATTACGCATATAAGACAAAGTACATCATAATACATTAATTATATTTCTTTTCCCTTTTTCCCTGCCCAGTGAATGTTTGTTATTCTTTTCCACTTCATCTATGTTATGTGTGTGTGTGTATGTATTTGTTTTGTTTGTCTTAAGCAAGAAGGGGAAGGACCATTGTTTGTGGTCACTGATAGCTGGCAAAGTCAATGCCAAGATGCTACCAGACAATGACTTGTCTGTATCTATTGCTTCTTTAATTTTATTTATTTATTTTTTGTCTGATTAATAGTTTGTTGCTATGCAACTACAGTGTTTGGACTTTAGCTTTGACCTCCCTCCTTGGGCATTATAATCTGCGGGTCTTTTTTTGTTGTAAAATTGCAATAATTGGGTCTGTCTTCATTGGTTGCAGGAAATAGCCATAATTTAATAGCAAGGATTCTGTCTATATGCAGACAAGATCAACCAACCAGGTGATGTTTTTTACATTGTTTATTTGCTGAACATAAGCTGATAAATCCTACAACTAATCCATACTTATTTCTAAATACCCTATTTGGAGTTTTTCTTTAGAATACAGATAGGGAAAAATACAGTTTTGGTCCCTCAAGTTTGCACTGATTTCAAACTTGGTTCCCCATGTTTACAAAAAAACACATTTGATCCTTCATGTTCCAAAAATTCAACATTTTTAGTCATTTAACGGGATTGAATATGTGTCCATCACTTCCTTCGATGACGGAGTGACGTTAAATTGACAAAAACGATAAAAAAATATTAAATTATTACAACACGAGGGACCAAATGTGGTTTTTGTGAATATGTGACCAAATGTGGAATCAATGCAAATTTGAGGGGTAAAAACTGTAATTTTCCCAAAACAAATATTTACACTTAGATGCTCCAAATGAAGCTTTTTAATTGGAAGAGCAGTTCCAAAGGGAATCAAGTTGAGCACTAAATTGTCGTTTTCATGCTCCAAATTTTTTGTTCGCGAATTCTTTTTGGCTAAAAAATGCATCTTGCATTTGCATGCATTCACATTCACGAATCTAGGGGTGGAAGTCGGATGGATCGGATCGAAATTAGCCTTTTCGGAAAATTTCTAAAAAAAATCGGAAGTACAAAATCAATTCTAATTCCAAAACTTTCGGAATCTAAAAATTCATTCCAATTCCAAAAGGCCCGGAAATTTTGGAATTTCGGAAAAAAATCGAAAATCATATAAGCTTTAAAATTTCAAAATTTAGCCTAAATTTTCTACAATGTTCATAATTTTTCAAAAATAAGAACATCCACATCAACAAAAGTAAAACTAAAAATTTCTAACAACAATTCATTATGTCAAAATCCTAAAACAAAACTTATAGGGGGTATTTTTTGGAAAAAAAAATCGGAATTTTTCGGATCGGATCGGAAATTCCAAATTTATTTTATATAGTTCCAATTCCAATCCAAAAAAATCGGAAAAATTCGAAAATCGGAATTTCGGAAGTTGGAATGAAAAAAGTTGTTCAAAAATCGGAACTTTTCGGATCGGAACCGGCGGAAATTGGAAATTCCGTTCCAACTTACACCCCTACACGAATCACATGTATCAATTTCGGACGAAAAAAAAAGAGTTCCTAATTTCTCTTGGCGGGAATTTTCTCATGAAAACCTGAAAACGACTTGTCATCATTATTATCATACTAGTGGAAATGCTTAATTATGCTGACAATTCAATTAGGTTGGAGTTGTCTGGAGATTAGTCCTAATCTAATCATAGTAATTAAAATAATTATTAATAATTAAAAGCTTCATATTAGCGTAGAAACGATCACATATTTGGTAAAACTAAGTTGTTCAAGTTTTAAATGCGTCCCTACTCCCTAGAAAGATGGATAAACATTAATTAAATGTAAGCCTTTCCGTGCACGTAGACAGTGATGTCTTGACTTAATTGTGAATTATTAAGTAATTATGTGGTAACTTTGATTTCATCTAATCCCATCCCATCTAGTGCTAATTAATGTTTGACAGGGACAATTTCAGAATTATTAAGAGGGTTATGATAAAAAAAAATTAATAATAATAATTAATACACAACTGATCAATATTCAATTGATCACTATTGTTCAGATGCCAATTGTCGATGAATGAAATGATTAGTGATACATGTAAGCGAACTAATAGTATATGAAATTGAAATTTTCGTTCCAACTTCATTTCTAGTAATATCTAATAGTATATGGCTCCACGTATGTTGATCTAGCGGTTGAATCAAGAGAGCTTGTCTGGTTTGTGAGTTATTGCACGAGAGGGGACGTTTATGTGTGTATATATATTTTAAATAGTGGTATGTATATTTGTGTAATTATCCATATATTTCACCAAAGTTGCATTGGATACTCTATATCATAATCACAAGCTTGTTTGTAACCCATTTTTATGGCTACTATTGCTCAATCTAGTTCTTAATTTTTTTTGCAATTACTCTATAAATGAATAAATTGAGTAACATAGGTTTACAATTTTTCGATTTTATTCAAGAATCGTAATATGATACAATTCTTAAAAAAATTAAAAAAAAAAAAAGAAAAAAGAAAAAAGAAAAAAAAAGAGCATCATTAGGACAAGTGGAAAATTCCAAGTGCTAAAAAGAGGCATGTCTTTGGAGTGGTATTGATATTCTGTCATCGGAGTGGCATGTGATTTTTGCAGCTTTTCTTTTTCTTTTTTTTTTTTGTCTAAACAAACAATGTCTAAAAATACCTAAAATTTAAATTATTTAATGCTAAATCTGTCGTAAATTAACTGATTTCATGTCTTTGTGTGGAATCTCAAACTAATATTTTAATCTTTTTAAGAAAAAAAATTAAAATATTCTCTCACTTAAAGATCCTAATGACACTCAAAATCTCAACTACTGCGGTGTGTATATATATATATATATATATATAGAGAGAGAGAGAGAGAGAGAGAGAGAGAGAGAGTATAATTAATGTAGCACATACTTGCGGAACGAACACGAAAGATAATGAGTATTGTAATATA